CACACAGACTGTTGAGTAGAACTGCCCTCCGCCAAAAAAGCACACATTTTCTGTGATTAGGTCTTTTTTAGGTTTACATCGGCTTGACTGAGAATAGCACAAGATCTTCCTTTCACTATCACGACTAAATCGCCTTTCGTTTGAAGAGGGCGCGCAATAATTAGTACTCCCCAAGTCTGTATACGCAATGAGTTCATGGCGTACGCCTCAACAACTTGCACTCTCTGTAGCGTTTGACTGCAATGCAGGTTCAGAAGCGGCCATTCATAACCACTGTCAAGAGTTCACCCTGAATAGCTGCAATGGTCGCTGTGTTTATCCTTAATAGCTTGCTATAACTTAGAGACCATCATCGAAGTGTAGGGAGTGTGGGGATAACCGCTATGTCACGAATCCTTATAGTACAACCATGTATAGTTGTAGACCAAGTCACTTGGAGCCCCCCCAACACCCCCTCTTGGGGGGGGGGAGGGGGGGGGGGGGGGGGGGGGGGTGGGGGGGGGGGGGGAGGGGGGGGGGGGGGGGGGGGGGGGGGCGGAGGGGGCGGTTATGGAGATAGTTGGGACAAAGCTGTTGTGGAGTTGCTTGGATGGGGACACACACACACACTGATAGACCCCCCGGGAGGAGGGGGGGGGGAGGGGGGGGGGGGGGGGGCCTGGGGCACTCCGCACTTAACATCGTTTGGGTCAGAGATGACGCCGCGAACTCTTACCTTCAGATGTTGTTGAAGCAAGAAGTTACCTATCCCACCGAGGATTGGGTTACCAATTCCACAGCGCTGCAGCTTGTGAAAGAGGACACGCTGTTTCAGACGGCCAAAGGTCTTTGATAAGTCTAGTTATCCTGCATCAACACCTGCGCCGCTGTCGAGGTTCTCAGTCCAAATGGATGTAGCAAGTGGAAAGTTTGAAGTGCAAGATCGGTTCTTGAGATATACATGTTGTTCTTGTGCTATGATATTGCGTTCTTTCAAGTACTTCATGAGTGCTTCAGCAACAATCGCTTCCATGAGTTTGGAGAGCACTGGAAGTAGTATTATCGGGCGATAGTTGGCCGGACCTGTACGACTGCCCCCCTTATGGATGGGAGTGACGATTCCGTTTCCACATTGTTGGCATCCGCATGTCATCAAAGCATCCTTGGAAGAACTGGGAGAGTGGGCCTGCCAAGTTTAATGCAGCCAATTACAACACCGTTGGACGAATATTATCAACGCCGGAGCTTGTAAAGAGCCGCACTCTTTTATCTCCAACCTTCTTCTTTGTGACTGTCTTTCACGTACATTTGCTCTCTGTTGACTTATTACGGGACACCTTAGGTATCCACTAGCAACCAGAAGGCTTCACCTCAATGCCATTGCTAGCCGTCGATATTCTCTCTCCCTTAGTACCATTATCCGTTCTTCGTATTACCTATCTCACAACTCTGCAGCTGCAGCGAGTCATTGTAGCTAGCATACCTCTACGCTAGGAGACACTCCTTATCTCTCCAACACTTGCTCTCCTAAATTGTTTGCATCACATACCTTCGATGGGTTGTTGACTTCTTTTGTCACTGTAAGTATCCACTAATAACTAGAAGACTTAATGTGAATTCAGTTGCTGTCCACTGGTTCTCTTTCTTAGCACCATTATCCTTCGTTCCTCTTGTCTCCATCACGTTTTCTGCAGCGGTTCGTTGTAGACACCGTACATTTGCGCATATCCGGAGCTACCAGGAGACATTCCTTTTTTCTCGATCCTGTAATCTTTTAGATGTCTGTACCACTTACCTTCGCTGGTTTGCTGATGTATTCTGTGACACTGTAGGAATCCACTAGTGAGCAACCTGCATAATGGAATGGTTACATCTGACCACCGAAAGATTTTCATAGTGCCACTATCTCTCGATCCTCTTAACCTCAGCATCTCTATTTAGTAACAACTAGTTGTCGTAGGTTCCAGTCATCGCTGCGCATATCCAGAGCTTGTTAAGAACCACTCTCTATTATCTCTAAGTTTCACCCTTTAGGACTGTCTGTGTCACATACATTTGCTGTCTGTTGACTTATTCTGGGACACATTAGGTTTCCACTATCAGGCTTCACCCTAATGACATTGCTAGCCGTCGATACTCTCTCTCCCTTAGTACTATTATCAGTTCTACGTATTACCTCTGTTTAGCATTAGCCATTCTTAGTAGGCTCCCACCATCTCTGCGCTTATCCGGAGCCTGCTAGGAGCCACTCTTCTACTCCTCTCTGGGATTGCATGCGTCACATACATTTGCTGTCTGTTGACTTATTCTGGGACACTTTAGATATCCACTAGCAACTTGAAGGCTTCATCCCAATGCCATTGCTAGCCGTCGATACTCTCCCTTAGTACCATTATCAGTTCTTCCTATTACTTACGTCACCACTGTTCAGCAGCAGCGAGTCATTGTAATTAGCATACATCTTTGCGCCAGGAGTCACTCTTTAGCTCTCCAACTCTTACTCTCTTGAATTGTTTGCATCACACCTTCGCTGGTTTGTTGAATTCCTCTGTCACTGTAGGTATCCACTGGTAATTAGTGGGCTTAATCCGAATGCCTTTGCTGGCCACTGATACTCTGTATCCTAGCACCACTATCTGTCGCTCTTCTTAGCTTCCTCACTACTGCAGCAATGCGCCGTATGCACCATGTCCCATTTGCGTAGATCTTGAGCTTGCTAGGATACACTCCTTGTCTCTCCATCATACATTCTCCTGGAATGTCTATCACTTACCTCCGCTGGCATGTTGATGCATTCAGTGACCTTGTAGGCATACACTAGTGACCAAGCGTCTGATTGGAATGGCTACATCTGGCCACTCATAGTCTTTCCTAGCGCCATCATCTGTAGGTCGTCTTAAATTCGGCACCCCTGTTTAGAAGGAGCTAGTGGTCATAGGCTCCATGCATATGCTATTATCCTGTGTTTGTTAGGAGCCACTCCGTATCTCAAGAACCTGTATTCCTTTAGAAGATCTGCAGCCAATGTTTCCGCTGCCCTACCGCCAATTGACCCTTAGATCTCTCTCGCGGCAACCTATTTATTTTCACTTATTCTGCACTACCTATCGTATTACGCTAGCTACTAGCTGTTCATACACCTTGCACTCAACATCAAGATTCTAACGCGCTTTGCTCTCTCCCTACGCAATTTTGCGCTCATAATAAACCGATACTTCGTAGGTTACCTACTGGTACAACGCCCTTGTCTCTACGCAAGCGTTAGCAATCCACTCATACGGCTAATTATTTTATAGGATATTTAAAAGGCACCTTGAGCATAATTATTGTTGCACAGTGTACATGCTTTTGTCTCAAAGCCAAATGTTGTAACATAAGACTAACAATGTTTAACTCCATTCCTGTTCCTACGGTCTTCTCTCGGTTGTCCCCCACTTTCCCTTTTCTCCGAGGTCCGGAACTTCTTGGAGATCTGGGATTGGACTGAGGAACAGTTTTCGCCCAAGACGGACGTAACAACCGACAAGGACTTACTTGGAGCATGGTTGAAAACCAAAAGGACCCAAATACAATCACCACAACCCTTGCCCAGTATGAAGAACTTGACACATCTTCATACTCCCATACATTATACATCTGAAAATTCCAGACAGCAGAAAATGTGAACTTTCTCTCACCTGGACACACAATAAGACGAATATTCGCGATGTTCCCCTCCTCAACAACCATGGTGTAATATTCCTTCGGTCCGGCTTTCTGAGCTCTTCCGTGTCCGAGTAGTGCATTAATCTGCAATGCAAAATAAACACCTCGTATACAGCTGTACGCTCGTGCCGCCTAGTAAGAGGCCGAGATAAAGGGAGCAGCTAAGAAGCGCGGAAGAGGAAAGGAAAAGTGTCGGAGAGAAATATGAGGGTAATGATAACAAGAAGCAAAACCGAGCGGCCTCAGCTATTAACGTGTTACCGTGATGCCCGCGGACCGGCTACAATGGCGGCCCCGATAAAGTTACCTGTTGAACTAACAGAGGAAATTAGGAGCCATTTGTCTGCGAATAACCACTTATGAAATCCGCCGTCCAACGGCTTTGCCAGTCATACATTGATGTTCAAAGTGTATTACAGCAGTGTTGCAGGACGTTTTGGGTTTTCGCCTGGAAAGCGTTCTCCCTATAAAAAGCTAAAAGTGTCTGTTTAACAATACTGCGACGTGGCACATGTGACTCGCCACTGAATAAAGTCACTGCCCACAACTACCTACTGGCAAGTCGACCCGACTCATATTTCAACCCTTCCCGACACATGCAAGTATATGATGCTGTCCGTCTACATGCACCGTTTCGTTGCACTTATAGTGCCTTGGCCGTTTCAACTACACACGACTGAACCCGAAGTATCATCGTGATACACAACTGCTTTTAAACCTTGATCATGCCTGATTTGGTGTCTCTATGAATTTGAGAATAAACTATTCATTTATTGCTTTATTTATATGCCCGCGCAGAACAGTTAGTCTTTTCATAACATCCGTGGTCATAAACGTGATTTGGCTAAGTCCTGTTGGTGGTACAATCTGCCTGAACGGTGTATTCGGTGATGTCGTGCCCTGGAAGTTCGGGGCAAATGGTTGCCATAGAGCGTTGACTGCCCCGGTTCCTGTTTGTGCGAGTCCACATGATGTGTGTAAGGCAGCAATTTCTCGCTGCACTTTGCGGAGCTTGTTGACGTGACAGTAGAGGAGCTAAGGTTTTGAAAGGAATTTCTCAGCTAGATTCTGTTGATATTGTATTTTATCTGCGTACAAGGTGGCCGCATTGATTCCTTTGGATAGTGTAGGCTGCCCATCTTTCGACATTCGGTGCCTCCTTGTAACTTCGCCAGAGTAAGTTCCTCGCGACATTACATTTCCGCGTCTTGTTGCGTCTTGTCTTTGCTCGCGCAGGCCTTCTTAGAAGCAGCTGTTACTAACGTGTTGAACTGCTGCGCAAAATCAGACCAAGCGATATCAGGGGATCGTTCTGCCAGAAATGCCCAGTTTGTAGCAATTATAAGTTTCATTAGAGCGCCATACTCCGTAATGAGCTGACCCACCTCTGTGTTTCTGCGGCACGCTCTGCATAACAGATGTAATTGAACAATAGGGTTGCCTGGTCGTTAAGGCCAAGAGGACTCTCTATCGATACAGGTTCGATCATAAGTTCCTCGTTGGTGAATAGGCGATCCAGGATATCCGGTTTGTTTCCAGTCCTGAATCTCGTGGAAGACGTGATGTGATTGTAGGGCGGTGCTCCACTAATTGTCTTTTGTACTTCCATTTTCAATGGTTCCTTGACACATGTGAGGTTTTTATGGCGTGAATATTGAAGTCAGCAACCAGGAAAATATGGCTGTACGACTGTGCAAGAATGGTCCTCATTGGGAGGCTAAGCGGCTGTTCATTTCCAAAGTAGCCTACGCAGGGCAATAAGCGACACACAACAAACACATTTTACCACGGTTTAGGTGAAGAGGTCTTCAACGCGCGTCGACAAGCTGGAAATCTGGATCATCGATGTGATCAAAGTTAGTTTGTTGTGAAAATAAAGTAGTACTCCAACTCCTCTATTTGGTCGGTCGCTACGTAGAACAGACATCCCAGCTAGTGCCATTCCTGCATCGGTGATCGCTTCACTTAACCAGGTCTCGGTTAGCATAGCGAGGTCCCTTGATATCGTGGCCTGACACAGGCGAACCTCCATCAGTTTGCGTTTGTA